TGCTGGAAGGGAACAGAGCAAGGGCTTGATACAAGCTGGAATTAAACAAAAAGGAATTTTTATTACAAGCTCCAGCACTGGGTCTGTCCCTAATGCCATAAAAACCCTGGATATCTACTGTAGGATCCTGAACATCTAGGATAAAATGGGATTAACACTGGATCAGGATATTCCAATGAAAAATACAATTGAACATGGAAAGGTGCTAACCTAGATCCTAGGGAAGTTTTAATCCTCATTCCCAGCTCTTCTTCCCTTTCTTCCCGCTATGCCATCTCCTCCTGGAGTTGCCAGGAGCTTCATGATCATCTTGTTCCACCCCCTGCCATGGGCAGGGACACCTTCCAGGTTGCTCTAAGCCCTGTCCCACCTGGCCTGTGACACTTCCAGGGATGGAGCAGCCACAGCTGCTCTAGACAACCTGTGCCAGTGCCTCACCACCCTCAGAGCCAAGACTTTTTTCCTCGTATCCAATCTAAGTCTACCCTCTCTCTTCAAACTGACATTCCCTTGTCCTGTCCCTCCAGGGTCTTGTCCCAAGTCCCTCTGCAGCTCTCTTGGAGCCCCTTGAGGCACTGGAAGGGGCTCTGAGGTCTCCCTGGAGCCTTCTCTTCTCCAGGGTGGACACCCCCAGCTCTCCCAGCCTGGCTCCATGGCAGAGACTCTCCAGCCCTCAAAGCATCTCTGTGGCCTCCTCTGGACTCACTCCAGCAGCTCCACATCTTTTTCTGTTGGTGCCCCAGAGCTGGATAAGCAGAGAGTGCCGAGTTGGTTGCCGTAGAATGGGTGGTAGGTGTTGGTGATTGATCTCAGCAGCTTCAGTAGGTTCTTGGTCAAAGGTTTTAGTCAGAGCTGGGAGTTGGCATTGTGCTCATTTCCTTTGGGATGCTGCTGGGGAGCATCATGGAAACATGGTGGACCCTGTCCCCAGTGAGGCTGGAGGGCGCTGGGAAAAGCCCAGGGATGGTCCATAGGAGAAGGGTGAGCAGATGACAACCACCAGTACCATCTCTGTTTCTCCAAGCTGATGAACCTACAGGTGTCCAGCCCCATGGAATATCTCCAGGTGGAAGGACCTGTAGGGATTACCAAGTCTATCTAACTCCCTGCTCCTTGCAGGACTACCTAAAGCTCTCTTGAAGACCAAGGCAGGTCTTGAAGTGCTGGTGGTAGACACATCACTGTGGTGCCATTTGAGGGCAAGTCAGATCCTATGTTCAGCTCAGGGCAGAGATCGGTGGCTCAAGTCCCTGTGGGAACACCAGGAAGGACATCTAGGTAAAAACCCACGATTTGTACCTGGGCAGGAGCTTTTTTAATTGCAAAACTCATTTATTCACAATTTCAGCAGAGCTGCAGATCCAGGTGCTCATAGCCCATGGGTGGGATGTTCCCTGTGGGTTCTGCAGCTCTTCCTGCAGCTCTTGTCACTAAATCTCAGCTAAATCCATCGAACATCAAAGGCTGAGCAGAGGAAATATATAGAAAGCACCACAATAATTTGCCTAAAGGCAGAATTTTCCTTCAAGAGACACTTTTTGGGTGGGTTCTTTTCAATGGATGATTGATGTGATGATTCTTGTAGCCCTGCAGATGTTGGGTTGGTTTTGTGGGACTCAGGAATTCTGATCCTGCTTGTGGCTTCTCCACAGGAGGTTTATCGCATCCCGAAGAAGAGTCAAGCAGAGAAGGAGAACAATGGTATGTCCTCACCTTTTCCCATGTAACCCCTTAATTTTCCTAGTCTGGGATGTCCAGGGTTGTTCTGCCTTCACAGCTCAACATTCCTGTTCCTTGGAATAAGTAAGGGAGGATAATCCCCAGTGGGTAGTGGGACGTGTAGCCCTGAGGGTGATATGGGGCAACCAATAACATAGAATCATGGAGTCATTGAGGTTGGAAAAGCCCTCCAAGACCATCAAGTCCAACCATTCCCCAGCACTGCCAAGGCTACCACGAACCGTGTCCCCAAGTGCCACATCCACATGGATGTTAAATCCCTCCAGGGATGGTGACTCCACCCCTGCCCTGGGCCGCCTGTGCCAGGGCTGAACAGCCCTTCCCAGTAGGAATATTCCCAATATCCACCCTGAACCTCTACTGGCACAGCTTGAAGTTGTTCCCTCTTGTCCTATCACTTGTTTGAATGAAGACTGTTGAACAATATTGAAACACCAAGAGAGGAGTTAGAAATACTCTGAATGACAAAAATTCCCTTTTTTCCCCTATTTTTCCCTCCAGCTGACCGTGGGAGAGAGCCTGCTGGCCTCAGGGATCAGACTCCTACACCCAAGAATCCCATCCTGAGCAGGGAGAGGGATCCTGAGAGGCAGAGCCAGAGCAAAGAGAAGAAGAGACGGAGAGACTCGTTGTCTCCTCCATCCTCAGGCTATGAGCGAGGAACAAAGAGGCCAGAGGACAGGCAAGTAGGCTGGGAGCAGTGGTGGCACCTCATCTGCCATATTCCTGACTAAAATCCCTGGGAAAAGTGCTCCTAGGGAGCATACAGGGCTGGGAAAGGGAATTTTCATGAAGGAATCCTTGGTGTGGTGAGTGTGTGCCCTGCCTGGGAGTTAGGTGTCTGCTTGGTGGTTGGTGGTCTCTCCTCTGGGATAAGCTACACTTTTATCTCCAGGCATGTTTTGGGAATGAGGTGGGTGATGTGGAAGCTGTGCCAGCTCTTGCACAGAAGTTTGGTAGCATAGATTCTCAGAGAAATTTGGGTTGGAAGGGACCTTAAAGGATCTCCCATTCCACCCCCTGCCATGGGCAGGGACATCTTCCACTAGCCCAGGTTGCTACAAGCCTTGTCCAGTCTGGCCTGGAACACTTCCAGGCATGGGGAATCCAGGAATTCCAGCTCATTCCTTTCTCCTCCACCTCTTCCAAGTGCACTTGGGGATTATTCTGAATTCAGAGAAGCCTGGAAGGAGTAGTGCCCCAGCCAAATAGGATTTCTAAAATCTAAAACTTCTTTGACCAATATTCCCCAAATATATATTAGTAAGGAGAACAGTAGAGGTGGGTGTGATCCCACTAGCCTTATGCCCTGTCTCCTGCCTTCCGCTGGGAATGTTGGCGTCACTAGCCGTGGCTGAGAAGGCAGCTCTTCATCAAGGAGAGACAAATACCATGAGTCTTGCAGCTCGGAGAGATTTGAGATCATGCCAAAGGCAGCCAAATCCCATGGAATTTCCTTTGAAGTCAATTTTCTGTTGTCCCTCTTAAATAGGATCTAAAGCCACTTGGTAATTAGGGAACAATTGGTGGTGAGTCAGCCAGAGGAGGAAACTTCAGTCCTTGGTTTGAGCAGTGCTGGGAAAGTTGGAAACATCTGGATAAGAAATCAGAATGTAAATCTATACCTCTGGAACGAGGCATTGAGAGGGTGGAAACATCCCTGAGGTCTGAGGAGAGGAGTAGAGCTCAGGAATGGTGAGGGAGATGGAGAATGGAGTAATTAAGATAAATTTGGGATTATTTTAACCAGAACAAGCTCATTTTGAGGGGGAGGAATTGGCTCTCTGCTCTTCCTTCTGTGGCCACGTCCTTGAGCAGCGAAAGACTTGGATGTGCCATCCTTCCCTGGGGATGTTCTGCCACTCTGACTTTGTTCTCTGAAGGTTTTAATAAGGCAAAATGACAAAAGAGATGGAGAGAGGAACACTAAACCCTCAGTTTTCCCACTCGATTGCTTCTCCTCTAAACTCTCTATGAAAGCCTTTAATGAGGGAAATCAAACTCTCCACATCAATAAGTTTTACATTATCCTGCAGCAGCTCCTCTGGGAATGCCAAGAAACAGCTGAAGTGTATCTGTTGGTAGCAATGTGCTTTTGATATGTAAATGCATCCCAGAAGCATAGGATATATGAATTATCCTGGATCCATTACATGAAGACTGCTAAGCATTTTTCCTTGTAATCCCTGTTTTACCACACTCCTAACGTCTCAAAATATCCACTTTGATCTGGAATTTTCCTTGGTTGAGCTTTGATCAAGTCCTTAGGCTTTTTTTTTCTTTCCTTTCTTTAATTCCTTGGAAAAGTCCCTCCAGCTGCTTCACAACTCAGGATGAAAACTCTTATTTTTTGAAGCTGAAGCTGCTGGAGAGGAGCAGAATTCCAGGCAGAAATGTGCTGCTTGTCATTCCCTTGTTTTTCATCCTGTCTGCAGCTCCCATGTGGGAGTTCCTTGGACAGGAATGCTGGGGTGCTCATCCAGTGCTGATTTTGAGGAGGAAGGTGCCATGGTGTGAGCTGCTCCTGCTGTTCATGAGCCTCTTTCCAAACCCCTTGGTGGTCCTGCTTTGGGTAAACATGGCAGAGGGTCTCCAGCAAAGCCTGTTTGGGGGTTACCCTGCTGATTCTGCCCTCTCCTTGGGTTCTGTCGGCCTTGGAGATGTTGTCTCCGTCTCTAGGTATCCCAGTGCTGCCTACCTTGTCCTTCAGACAACTTCTGTGGCATCTTTGCATCTCCATCAGCACCACACTGAAGTTAGTCGATCCAGTGGGACCATTTAGCTCATCCTCTGCCCTGGCTCCTTCCTCATAGACCAGTGGATGTTTCTCCTGTCTCTGAGTTGCCAAAGTTGGTCAAACAGCTGGGAAGAATGACTTTTTAGGAATTACTGCTGCTGCTGTTGGCCATTCCAGGTTTTCCACCAGCAGTGGTGGCCCTTGGACTGCTGGAGCCTTGGAGCTGGAGCTTTCTGAGGTCTTACAACCCGTTTTCCTCCCCTCTCTTTCCCAGGTATGACACCCCAGCATCTTCCAAGAAGAAAGTCCGACCTAAGGATCGCAACAAGCTGACCACGGAGGAGCGCCGGAAGCTGTTTGAGCAGGAGGTCGCCCAAAGGGAAGCCCAAAAACAACAACAACAACTCCAAAACCTGGGAATGACATCCCCCCTTCCCTATGACTCCATGGGCTACGGAACACCCCACCACAGCTTCATTGGATACCCCCCTGGATACCCCATGCAAGCCTATGTGGACCCCAGTAATCCCAATGCCGGCAAGGTGCTGCTGCCCACCCCTACCATGGACTCTATGTGCTCTCCAGCAGGATATGAGCACTCCCAGACTTTGGTTGGGCACACAGTGGAACCCACCCTGGCTACTCCTCAGCCAGTCCCAGTAGTCCAACATGTAGCAACCACGATGGAGGTGACCACGCCTCAGTATGTAGCACAGAGCGACACAGTGGTCCACCAGGAAGCCAACGTGGCTGTCCTGCCTGTGGCCACGCCGGGAGCGGTGCAGAGCCAGAGCTATGGAGTGTGGGATTCCAGCCAGCAAACTGTGGCTGTCCAACAGCAGTACTCACCAGCCCAATCCCAACCAGCCATCTACTACCAAGGACAGACCTGTCAGACCGTGTATGGGGTGACATCACCATACTCACAGACCACTCCACCCATTGTGCAGGTAACTTCTGTCTGGGACATGAAACACACGTGGAATGAGGTGAACCAGCCTGGAGCTGGGAAAAACACTTCAGTTCCTCACTCTCTGAACACTTGAGTGACTCCCTCTGGAGTGGGACTCTTTGTTAGGAACTGCAGTGATAGGATGAGGAGTAACAGGGATAAATTGAGAGAGGGAAATTTAGATGAGATTTCAGGAAGAAGTTTTTTACAATGAGGGTGGTGAGGCACTGGTGCAGGTTGCTCAGAGCAGCTGTGTCTGCCCCATCCCTGGAAGTGTTCCAGACTGGGTTGGTTGGGGCTTGGAGCAACCTGGGCTATTGGAAGTTTCACTGTATCTCCCAGGAAAGGATTTTGGGTAAACCCAGTGATTCCCTATGCTCCATTCCAGAGTTATGCCCAGCCTGGGCTCCAGTACATCCAGGGCCAACAGATCTACACAGCTCATCCCCAGGGAGTCATCGTGCAGCCACCCACAGCAGTGACCACCATTGTGGCAGCTGGGCAGCCCCAGCCCATCCAGCAGGTAAGGATTGGTGGAGCAGAAGGGATTGGGAATGCTTTTCTATGGGGTAAAGAGTTGTCAGGGCTGTTTTGACCTCTCTCCTGACTCCTAATATTTTCCTCTTCATCCCTTTGGTGCTGTTTGCAGCCAGAGCTTGTGGTGACCAGTAACCTCCTGGACTTGCCTCCACCTTCTCCTCCAAAACCCAAAACCATTGTCCTCCCACCTAACTGGAAAACCGCTCGAGACCCAGAGGGGAAGATCTACTACTACCACGTGGTGACCAGGTGAGTATGGGAAGCACTGAACCATGTCCCCAAGTGCCACATCCACGTGGCTCTCACCCGGAATGTTGACTCCACCTCTGTCCTGGGCAGGCTGTGCCAGGGCTGGACAGCCCTTTCCAAGAGAAATACTCCCAATATCTAACCTGAATCTCCTCTGGTGGAATTTGAGGCTGTTTCTTCTTTGTCGTGTTGCTTGTTTCTTGGGAGAGGAGCCCCACCTCCACCTCTGGAGCAATAAATATGACTTTCCCAATGTTTTCCCAGCACCTTTGCCATTAGTTTTGGAAGGCATTTTTGGATCAATCCCTATGGACTAGTCTAAAATGACAATGAATTTAAGACTTCTGAAAAGGATTCTTTTAGATGTCCAACTCTGTGTGAGGTCCATATGGAGATCCACCTTTCAGAAGGGATAAACTGGAATATTTTCTTCCATGTCCTGAGTGTGTTGATGTCACTGCTTGTTCCTGGCACACATTTCCCTGTATCCGTCAGTCTTTTCAATCTCCATTTTGGACTCCTTCCTGCTGTGGCACGTCAACAGCAGAGCAGGAAACCTTCAAACACCTGGAATAAACACAGTCAAGCAGGAATTAGTGGGTTTTGCCATGGTTTGGAAGTCTTGGGATAAGATGAGGAAACCCAATGGAGCCTTGATGCTCCTCAGTAGTTGTACCTTCCCTGGGGTCTCCGCTGCGGTGTCTCCCATCTTTCCCTCCAGATTGTCCCACCTTGTAGGAGCTTCCCTTGATCCCAGACTGTCACCAGGGATAGAAAATGGTGAAAAATCCCTATTTTAAGATCTTCTGGCTTGGTTTATCCTTCTCCAACATAGAAACCCTCAAACTGATCCTTAGGAACAAGACAAGGTCTTGAGTTACACCGTGTCAGGAATTCTGATGGCTGATGATGTCCCAGTTGATGGGACAGTCAGCAGCAATCAGTAACTTCAAGAGGCTGACAGTGGTCTGAACTCCTTTCTCTAGACAAACCCAGTGGGACCCTCCCACATGGGACAGCCCAGGGGATGACACCAGCCTGGAACACGAAGCCGAAATGGACCTTGGGACTCCGACGTACGACGAGAACCCCATGAAGGTGAGTGTGGGCTCAGTGAGGGAGACTCACACCTCTGAGACACACCACAGGTTGCTGAGGTCAGTGTGGACTTGAGGAGGTGACAGAGGGACACAAGTGACTTGAGATATGTCCTAATGGCTCTGCTGGCCATCCTTAGTGCTTGGGGTGTTCCAGCCACGGCTCAGGTGGACTGAGCTTCTTCAGCTTCTTCTTCATCAACTTCCCTGTTGCTGCATTCCAGCCTTGTGTGTGGAGCTGACTTTGTGGCCAAAACCAGGGAAATGAGGGTGAAGAATGTTGACATAGGACAAATTAAAGGTGTATCTTGGGATTCCTTTCGGATTATTCCCTAAAAAGCAGAGAAGATCAGTGGAACTAAAGGTTTGTTGGTTTATAACTCTCAGGGAGGAATTCTCTCCCTGCTCAGGTGCTCCCACATACCTGGGAGGGATTTTCCTGGAGGGACTGAAGATGTTTTCCATCCTACAGCACCCAGGAACATCCCACTTGGCTGCTGTCACATTTCCATGTGCTGCAGGACCCTAAGGGTTAACCCAATCCTTGGAAATGCCTCAGGCAGGATTCCTGGGGAGTTCACTCCCAACTAAATCCCTGGCAAACAGTATGAAGTCAGAGGCCTTTGCTTCCACAGAGAAATCCAGAAAAGCCTTTCCAAGGATTTTTATCTCTAGATCAGTGTCACATGTACCCTGTGACATTCCCTGTGTTTCTGGGATCTTGTGGGTTTTGGGGTTGCAAATATTGAAGGATATTGGGATTTCTCAAGCAAGCCTTCATTTTGGGCTTTAAGTAAGTTTTTATTCAGCTGGAATAGCTGGAAAATGCATCCCTGTGGAGGGATGAGTTAGAGCTTAGTGATGTGGAGCAGCTGGAGATTTTGGGAATATCCCTGTGAGGATGAGGACAAGATGCTGAGGAGGTGTGGGCTCTCCTTGAGAGAGCAAATAGAGCTGTGTTGGTGCTTTCCAGCTTGGGAATCGTTTTCCTATGGATTACTGAGGGTCTGGGCACTGCAGAGGGAGCAGCAAGGAAAGATACTTCCATAAATGTGGGGTTTTATCCCAAGAATTGGGATAAAAGGGCTGCTGAGGACTAGGGTAGCACTCCAAGGGCTTCACCTCCGGGCAGGTGTGAGTTGGCTCTTCCTGACAGGTTTTGCTGCTCATTCAACCCCCAGATCCTTGGTTTTAGGTGCAAACCTTCTGAATCCGTGAATCCCTCATTCCTAAACAAGCAGTGGCTTCGTGGCTCTGTGATTCTTACTCATTTCAGAGCTTTAAATCCCCTTTTCCTTGGCCAGGAGAGCCTTAAGGTTGGGTTTTTCCAGGCACTGAATTCCCATGGTCATAGCTCTCTGCCTCCACCCTGAATCACAACCACATTCCTTGGATTTTTTTACCCTCCTCCCCATCCCACACCTTTTCTAAGAGGGATAAAACCCACCCATGAGGGATTAAAGCCACCATCCAACAGCTGCTGCTGCTATTCCTGGTTTTCCCTGCCCACAGGGGATAATTTTGATGGAAAGGCACAAGCGGTGTGTGAAGCCACCATCCCTTTTTAAATCCCTATTTCCCTTTAAAGCACATTTGGAATCCTATTTTTCTCCTTGGAAAAGGGGTTCCTGAGGCAGTGACACCAGGCTGAATTCCAAAGGGTTTGCATTCCTGGAGGATGGGAAAAGCCTGGAATTGTGGCATGATGGAGTGTGTCTCTGCTCCTTGGTACTCCATGGAAGGGCTGGTGTCAGTGGAGCAGATTCCAGGTGCTGGAGGAGAAAAGTCTAGTCAGGCTCCTCTGGATTTCTACACACATTTGCATTCTTGATCCCATTCCAGGCTGGTTTTCCCTCAGGACATCTTTGTGGCTTCTCTGTCCCCTTTTCCTCTGGAGGCTGATAAATGTGGACACTTCCATTTAGGGGCTTTTCCAGTGTCAGTCTTCCTGGAGGGCAGCACGGCTCTGGATTATGGGAATGCTTTGGAGGGGTCACAGGGAAAAGCAAAAGCTTTTTTAAAGATGTTTTTATATTAAAGTATTTTAATTTTTCTAAATATAAGGATATTAAAAGATACTTGATAAGATATTAAAAGAAAGGTGACTTCTCCTAAAGTTAGGAGAAGTTCTCCAAGGAGAAACTGGCACCTTTGTATGAGGAGGAGCTTGGCAATAGAATTTGTTTCTCCTCAACTTTCAGTGCAGATTTTGACACTGATTTTCCCCCTCATCCTGCACGGAGAAGGGTTTGGGAGTGGATAAGGTGATGGAGAAGGATTTGGGTATGGAGAAGGGTTTTGGGGTGAAAAAGGATTTAGGAGTGGAGAAGGGTTGGAGAATGGAGAAGAGTTTGGTGAAAAGGATTTGGTGGCAGAGAAGGGTTTGGTGATGGAGAAGGGTTTGGGGAGGAAGAATATGGAGAAGGGTTTGGGGATGGAGAAGAGTTTGATGGTGAAGGATTTGGTGGTGGAATAGGGTTCGGAGATGAAGAAGGTTCTGGTGATGGAGAAAGATTGAGCAGGGGAGAAGGGTTTGGTAGTGGAGAAGGATTTGGGGATGGACAAGGGTTTGAAGATGGAGAAGAATATGATGGTGGAGAAGGGTTTGGTTGTGAAGAAGGTTCAGGGGTGGAGAGGGATTTGCTGATGGAGAAGGATTTGCTCATGGAGCATGGAAGGGTTTGGTGCTACCACCATGCCAGGGCCACTCTGGGAGCCATCCAGGAGCCTTCCAGAAGCCATCTGCTCCATGAGGAATGATCCCATGGGATCCCATGGGAATGATCCCAGCCTTTGGAATTGGCAGCTGAGCTGTGTCTGGAACACCAAGCTTTGATGTCCCTCTGGCTCCGGACAGCCCTCAGCCGTGCAACATCCCTGTCATGGTTTTCCTTCCCATGTCCATTTGATTCCAGGGTTTTGCAGCTCTGCCCTGCAGCCAGGCCCAGTTTTAGGGCTTGAAAGGGATTTAAAGTGTTAAATACTTCAAAAAATTTGGATTCTTTTTTAATTCAAAGACACTTCAGGACATCATCAAAGAGCAGAAGGAGAAGGGAAAACCTCCCATGGCATTCCAAGCCCTTGACAAGTCCTTTTGCTCTTCTCATCCATAAAATCCAAGTGGTGATGAGCTGCAGTTCCCAAACCTGTCCCAGAAAACCATGCTGTGGGAGAGATGCTGCTTTTTTCTTCCTTAGACTCCAGGGTTGGAGTCACAGGCTTGGGATGGGCATGTGTAGGAGGAGGGTGTGGAGCTGGCAGGGATGTGCTCTGGGGTGCAGCCAGAGCTGCTTCTGCTCCATTGGTACAGGTGGAAAACTAAATCAGGGATCAGGGAAACAGCCAGAAATTCCTAGAAAACTCCCTTTATCATGACTGTAGCAAAGGATAATCCATGTGAATGCTTGTGGAGGGTCCCAGCCCTTGCAGGGACCCAGTGCAGGTTGCTCCCACTCTGGAGCAGCCTGACTCCCCCAGGACCTTTTTCCAGCTTTTTTTCCAAAGCAAACAAGAACAAGGAGCAGTCCAGGTGCCTCCACAGGAGCTGTGCTCCCAGTCCAGGAGTGACTGCAGTGTGCTGGGAATTGTGCTAGGACTAGGCTGGAAAGCATGTTGGGACCAATCTGGGAGGTGGCAGGATCAGGCCAGGAAGTGCTGGGACTGGGCTGGGAAATGTGCCTGGATTGGGGTGAGGAGCATGCCAGCATCAAGCTTGGGAAGTTCACAGGAATGGGCTGGGAAATGCCTGGTTTGTGGTAGGGAACGTGCTGGGATTAGACTGGGAAGCACACCAGGAATGAGCTGGGAAGCATGTCTGGATCAGGCTGGGAAATGTGTTGATACTGGGCAGGGAAGTACCCTGGGACTGAACTGGGAAACTCACCAGGACTGCCAGGATTGGACTGGAAAGTGCACACACACTGGGCTGGGAAGCTCATGGGACCAGGCTGGGAAGTTGCTGGGATCAGGCTGGGAAATGGTTGGTTTGAGGTGGGGAGTGTGCTGGTATTGGACTGGGGAGCTCACTGGGAAAGGTCTGGGAAACTCATTGGGATCGGGCTGGGAAGCTCACCAGGAATGACTGGGAAGCATGTGCTGCCCACCTGGCTGTGGGGCAGGGTGGGGACAGGGACAGAGAAGCACTGACATCCCTCCATTCCCTCTCTCCAGTCTTCCAAGAAGCCCAAGACGGCAGAAGCTGACACATCCAGCGAGCTGGCCAAGAAGAGTAAGGAGGTGTTCAGGAAGGAGGTGAGTGTCCCCAGGGCCACCAGCCAGGGGATCACCAGGATGTGTCACCCTGGGGGTGGGATTGGGTGGGATGGTGGGAATGGGGAGCTGGATCCAGGTGTTGTCTCCCGCAGATGTCCCAGTTCATCGTGCAGTGCCTGAATCCGTACCGGAAACCTGACTGCAAGGTGGGACGGATCACCACCACCGAGGACTTCAAGCACCTGGCGCGCAAGGTGGGGATATGGGAATGTGGAGGGACATGGGGGGACACGGAGGGTACAGGGGCATGGGGACGTGAGGAAATGGGGAACAGGAACACAGGAACGTGGGAACATGGGGGGGCACAGGGACAAGGAGGGGTATGGGGACATGGAGGGTACAGGGACACAGGGATGTGGAGACATGGGGGTACAGGGATGTGAGGGATACAGGGACATAGGGGTACATGCTGACAGGGACATGGAGATATGGAGATATGGAGTGGTACAGGGACACAAGGGGTACAGGGACATGGGGATACAGGGATGTGAGCACAAGGACAAGGGGGACCCAGGGATATGGGGACACAGGTACAGGGATGTGGGGACATGGGTACCAGGACATGGGGACAAAGAGACACGGGGTACAGGGACATAGGGATGTGAGGGTACAGGGATGCAGGGATGTGAGGATACAGGGACATTAGAGGAATATTTGGGAAAAAAATAACAAAAATAGTTTGGGGAATGATAGGAAATATTTTGGGGAAAATAATGGATATTATTTGGGAAATAATAGCAAAATAATTTTGAGGAATACTTGGGAAATAATAGCAAGTATTTGGGGATTAGCAGCTAAATAATTGGGGGAATAATAGGAAATATCTGGCAAATATTTGGGGAATAAGAGGCAAATAGCTTGGGGAATATTTGGCAAATAATAGCAAATACTGGGGGAACAATAGCAAATTAATTGTGAGAATAATAGGAGATATTTGGGAAGTAATAGAAAAGTAGTTTGGGAAATAATGGAGAATATTTGGGGAATATTTAGGGAATAACGGGATATATTTGGGCAATAATAGGAAAAGAGTTTGGGAAATAGTTGGCGTGTAATAGGAAATATTTGGGGATTATTTGAGAAGTATTGGAAAAGTAGTTTGGAGAATAATGGGAAATATTTGAGGAATAATGGGGGAATATTTAGGGAATAAGAAGAAATATTTGGGCAAGAACAGGACAACAGCTTAGGGAATATTGGGAAAAAACAGGAAATACTTGGTAGTAAGAGCAAAGGAGCTTGCAGAATTCCCAAGCCTGTGCTCAGTGGGAATTGTGGGATTCCCTGTCCCCAGCTGACCCATGGAGTGATGAACAAGGAGCTGAAGTACTGCAAGAATCCAGAGGACCTGGAATGCAACGAGAACGTCAAACACAAAACCAAGGAATACATCAAGAAATACATGCAGAAATTCGGGATCCTTTACAAGCCCAAAGAGGACACAGACCTGGAATAGCATCTAGATAACCCCAGGACCTCGGGATCCCCAATTCCCACCAGGATTGGCCGTTTGAAACCACCAACCTGTGAATTTATTATTATTACTGATTTTTTTTAAGGAAAACTAACTCTGTTTCCAACCTGAGGAGCAGCCAAGCTTTCCCAAGCCTGGCTTTCCCAATCCAGGCTTTCCCAGGCTGAGCTTTCCTGGCTGTGCTCTCAAGCTCTGTATTATATTTTAACCTCTATGTGAATATATGGAGAATAATTTGCTTTTTTTCCTTGCTTTTAGCCCCAAACTTTGCTGATCCCAAGGGAACAGTTTTGGGGTTATTCCTGGTTTTTTTTTTCCTTGGTTTTCTCTTTGGGTTCTGCAAGGTTTCAGCTGTTTTCCTGTAAATACTGTGGAGCAGGGCCATTCCCAGATTCCTGTCAGGCCTCAGGCCCTGTGAAGAAGTTGGATTTTCCTGTTCCCGACATTTTACTTTAGCCAATTTTTACAGAACTTTTTATGGAAAAAGAAAATGAAAAAAAAAAAGGGAAAAAAAGAGAAAAAATAAAAAATCCAAAGAAAAAATGATCCCAAAAAATAGCAACAGCACCACAAGGGGTTGGCACGGGGGGAGGACATGTGGCGTGGCTCCCCTCCTGTTTGGGGACATCCCTGTCACCTTGGTATTCCCAGGAGATCCAAACCCTGTGGAGAGGGGAACAGGAGGGGCTTGGGGAACTCCAGGCCAAATTTGGGGGTAAAGTGGCTCTTTTCTGTCCCCAGTGCTGCCTGGCGTGGGGGCTTGAGGGGTATCCCTATGGCCAGGGCCATCCACACCCCCCCCGGGTCCTTATGGGATGGGTGTGGGACATGGGGACACCTGAGGACAGATGCTTTTAGGGACAGGGGCACTGGGACACACAGATACCTGGGGACACATCCCAATTATGTGTGTGGGGACACACATGGACACCTGAGGACAGATGTCCTGGGGACACACCAGGTGCCAGAGGACACATCCTGCTGACACACACTTGGGAACACATATGGACACAGACACTTGAGGACATGTGTCCCAGTGACACACTTGTGGGGACACATGGATGCTTGAGGACACATGTCCCTGTAATATGGCACCCAAGGGGACAGCCTAGTGACAAGTGCTTGGGGACACACATGGATGCCTGAGGACACAGCCCAAGGACACACATCCCAGTGACAATGCCTGGGGCACGTGTGGATGGCTGAGGGGACACATCCCTGAGATACACACTTGGGGGGACATGGACACCTGGTGACACACAACCCAAGGATACATGGACACCCCAAAGGGACACATCTCAAGGAGAAGGACTTGAGGGGACACATCCTGGGGATACAGGACATATCCCAGTGACATATGCTTGTGGACACATGAACACCTGAGGACATAGATCTTGGGGACACACGGAGACCTGGGAATACATGGACACACTCAAGGTCACCCATCCCAGTGATGTGAGGACATACATCCCAGGGACAAGTGGACACCTGGGGACACTTGCAACACCTGAAAGGACACATTCCAGGGACACACTGACACCTTGGACTCTCAGGACACCCAAGGGGACACGTGGGCACCTGGGGACACCTGAGGGGACACATCCCAGGGACATGTGCTGGCATGGACACACAGACAACTGAGGACACAAATCCTAGTGACACATGGACATCCAAGGGGACACATCCCAGTGACAGACAGCTGGTGACACATGGACACCTGAGGGGACACATTCTGGGGACACAGCTGGGGACACTCAGGACACCTGAAGGGACACATGGACACCTAGGGACACTTGGGGGATGTATCCTAGGGACATATCCTGGGGACACCTGAGGTGTCACATCCCAGCGACACGTGCACACAAACACCCAAGGACACAACTCCTGGTGGCACCCAAATGACACATTTAATGCCCCATCCACACCTCGCGTCCCCCACGCCGATGCCACCAAACGTCCCTATCCCCATCCCAAACCCCTATCAAAGTACAACCCCTCCCGGGAATCCTCTCGGGAGCGCTG